TCAAAGCCTTCGACTTGCCCTTCACTCTTACAACCGGTCCATCAAGCCAAGTCTTGTTTCGATCTTCTCCACCTAGTCACATGACTCCATGTCATGTCTCATATGCAATGAGCTACTTCATCACATGTATAAGCCTGGCAACCAATCCAAGCCATTGTCACCTCCATGGCATGTGTTGCTCACACGTGATGTACCTGTGAACTAATTACCTGTGTATCTTACATAAACACATATTAGTCCACCTAGGTTGTCACTCAATTATCAAAACCAAACTAAGGACCTTTCAGTTGTCTCCTGACAAAGTTTGTAGTTGTGATGTGTTTTTTTGTTTTGTCCTAGTTAAGAAACTTGGTGAATTGAGTTGAGTGGGGTCGTGTTTTGGTAGAGTTGGTCGAGTTGGTTCGGTGAGGAAGAGTTGTATGAAGTTGATAGTTGACCGGTCGTAGCACCAAAGTTGTTTGGAGTGTGGCACTCTCTCTAGCTGTGTGTTTTTTGGCCTGATGTTCACTTAAAAAAACGAGACCAACACTTAATTAAGCAACTTGGTTCGTGTCATTTGATGTAAGAGTGGCAACATGAAGAAAGGAGTCATGCCATCTACAGCCAATAAGTCAACCAAGAAAACATTTAAAGGAGGTAATTTTCTGAAGAAAAATGGAATGGAAAACAAGCCAATATATTATGTTCAGGTTGGCTTAATGCAAGTAAGAGGCACCAAGTTGATGTATAGAACTCATGGTCAATTGATTCATCGGCTCTAAAGTTAAACATGCTCCTATATATCAACGTGCAATTTTGCTGCATTATTTTAATATTTATGGTTGATAAATTAAGAGGTCAAGTCTACGTTAGTATTTTGGGTCTGGTCTCTTTTGGCTTGGGAATTAATGAGTCGTAGATGGTTGGAGTCAGAATTAGTTAGGCCCTGCGTGGCTATTCGGATTTGATTCCCCTGTCGAGGAAATTAATGAGTCGTAGTTGGGTTGGAGTCAGAATTAGAGTTAGGCTCTGCGTGGCTATTCGGATTTGATTCCCCCGTCAAGTCGTCACTCCAAAAACTCTAAATGGTGATTCCATCTATTATCAAGAACTGAAGTGGATCCTTGTGTGGATTTGTGTGGAGCACGTGATCGAGTTACTACTGCTCGGGTGCGTCACTTGAATCTTGGAGTTCCCCGTCTTCTGATCATGGTATGTCGTTGCCGCGGGTGGAAGGACTATTCTAGGGTTTGGTTTGCATCTTGTATAAGGCGAATCCATCTATTATTGCTACTGCTCTTGTTTGATTAGATAATCGAGATTAGTTAGTCTTGCTTTGTGATACGTTCGGCAATTGAAGTCTAATATACACAAGAGCTAAAAGCAGTATACCTAGGAAAAGACAATATACTTGCAATATATCATATTTGAATTTAGAAGACTACCGGTTTAGTCTTTCGAAGATGTTCATAGGGATGATTTTGTTATCTAGCTGTGTTTTGTATAATTTTATTATCTACTCCCTACGTCCCATAAAAAGTGTTGCTATGAAATTCACATTCATATTGGACTTAAGTCTGACTGAGTTTTTAGAAAATATTAGTAATATTTATATCTCTAAATAAATTTATTATAAAAATATATTGAACGACATATCTAATGATACTAGTTATGTACTATAGATATTAATATTTTCTTATATATATTTTGTCAACGTTAAAAATATTTGACTTCTTGAAAAATAAAAATGACACTTTTTATTAAACGAAGAGAGTAGAAGATATTAATAAGCATATATAACAATAATTTTGTTATATTCTTTCACTGAATATAAATAACAACTATAAGATTATACTAATAAAAATGTTGTCATAGGTTAGGGGCCATGGCCCCTGCCGGCCCCCCTTGGCTCCGCCACTGCTCATGTTGTTGAGTTGTCTTCCGACAAAGTTTGTTGTTATCTTAGTTAAAAAAACTTGATGAGTTGAGTTGAGTTGAGTTGGGTCTTGTTTCGGCCGAGTTGGTTAGTTGGCTCAATGAGGGAAGAGTTGTATGAAGTTGACAGTTGTCCCGTCATAGCATCAAAGTTGTGGGAAGTATGGCACTCTAGTTATGTGTTTTTAGCCTAATTTTCACTTAAAAACGGGACCAACACTATATTTTATTTTTATTCTTCTAACAAAATTAACGCCAAAGCTCTTGCCGTCCCATCAAAAATCATATCTTTGTGCTATGTCATGATAAAGTTTGCTCTTTCCGCCACCGTTTTGACATAGCACTGTGATACTGACAGTCCATTAGGACTTGCATTTCTCCAATACTTCATGAATCGCCATTTCTCCGGTGTCTCATAAATCATCATAATATTTGTGCTTATTTATCTGAAAGTCCGGCCAGCGGATTGTCACAATGTACACACAATATTATAGAGTACTCATCCAAGACCCGGGGTTTACTTTTCCTATTTTATATTAGGCGCTCATCATCTTCACCCTTAATTACCGCATGCTTATGCTACAAACCCTGTGCACCAACTAAAATGACCCTTTTGGTCCACTTTGCTGCATTTCTCTGTTTTCCTTTCGTCTCGTCGAGGTTGACAAGCACTCGGGCATCGTCTTGATCCGGAGGAGGAGGAGCGAGTCTAAAGCGAGGCGGCGCTGTACTAAGATCCATTTTTTTAATGTCAAACCGGAACGTTTGTTTGCGCCCGCCGTCGTCCAAGTCTAAGTGGCTGCAGTATTTTTGGCAGGCATATCGGTCCTCTGAATATTCTGGGCACTGCTGGTGCGTTTGCGCCGAGGTCACATTCTGATATTTGTCTGATTAGTTGACTAGGTAAAGTAATCCCTACTTTTCGCCGGTTGCCGGAAAATACGTATATCACTTTGCTTGTGCCAAAACTCGCGGTGCATTGCGCTTATTAGTCGAATTTGTCAAATCATTTTCTTTTTTTGTCGCCCAGCTGCTTGTCCACGCCACGCCAGTGTTTTTCTTGTGGGGAAAGGGAAACGCGATGGCGGGGACGGAAGTCGTCAATACCTAACCCAGGAAATTTTCACCGGAGCCAAGACGGCCGGTGTTAAAGCCGGCTGAAATTGTTTTATTGTGAGAAAAAAATACTGTAGATTATAACTGATAAACCGGCTGATAAGTTCAAGTGAACAAGCCACGGCATTGGCTGACGTACGGACGGACGGCTTCAGGGGCCGTGGTGCGCCGTGCAACCCTTTTCCCTGTCCTTGCGGCCGTTTCAGCCGGATGTTCTGAAAGAGCCGGTCTGCGCGGGGGAAGAGCTCACGTCAGACGGGCATTCCACGCGCGAAGTGACGACGCAGCCGCGAGCGAGTCCGCAGGGCAAAACCGGGGGAGGCCGGGTTACGCTTCGCTTGGGGTTTTCAGATGCATGCATGCTCCTGTCCTGTGATTGGATTAGATTTGTTGTGACTACTAGTAGGATAATCATTTGGGTCTTAATGAGAGTCGGCTGATCGGGAGAGTAGAAGCCTAGGATCGCCATCAGCGAAGCCGAAGCTAGATGCAGAATTTGCGCAGCATGCGGCCGCAGGATTCGTTTCTGACCAGGACGGCCCCATTGACCAAAAGGACTGTACGCCGTCCTATCGTGTCCCTCGAGCTCTGGCCCTGTCATAATCAAGGCGTTCATTATCCGACCAGAAAATCCTGTAGTAAAACTAACGCTAACAGCCCCCCATCCAATCAGAAAGTCGTCTCCATCGTGAGTAGTATTTATATCCCCCAACGAAATGCACGATCCGGCAGGGCACCTCGGCCGGTCTACGACCTGACCTCCCCATCTCGTCGACAGCATGATATTATATTACCCCTGACTCTGACTGCAAGAACAAAATGATATTTGAGGCTTGGTTTAATCAAATTATGTTACTACGTACTTAGATTAGGTTTATTTATAGAGATAATATCAATATTTCTGACTCCAAACACACATATATACTACGAAATTAAATTCCATTACAAATCTAATGACTGTATCATAAATATCAGCATATCTTTTCCTATACATTTAATCAATTTTAAGACGATTTTATTGTTTCAAATAAAGTTAGATTCTCCATTCTCCCGCACTGCTCAAGCATGCGATGCGACTCCGTATGACCTTCTTCCCAGAAGGAGTAAAAATTCTCAACCAAACCTTTGTCTCGGCCGTCCGTCAGCAACCCTACCATGTCAGCTGCAGGACATATATATATATATACACGCGCATTGCCCCTATCCTTCAATTAGATTTTTAGATTAAATATAATAACGTAAGCTAGTATTTGCTCCTCCTCTAAACAACACGCTAGAGCGGGCGTTGGTTGGACGTAGCTGAAGGGCAGCAGCATCCAAGAACCCATCACAAGGATATTATAACTACTACTACGTAGCTGAAGGCAACATGTGAAAAGAGACCGAAGAGAGAGAGAGGAGGCCGACGCGCTAATCACAATTGCCCGGTTCGGTTCGGCTGCGAAAGCTACCTGCCACCAACGGTCGTCGCCGAGCAAGGATTAATAACATAAACAAAAGGAGAAACGTGCTGGCATCAGCGTTAATTGGGCTTTCCCGACTGCGTCGAATTTCCTAACATCCCCTTTTGACCGGCGGCCAGCCGCGCAAGCGCAACATGGCCACATCCTTAATCATCATCCGGAGTTCTGAACGCGTCGCGCGTCCGCCATTTGCTTGGGTTGACCTCTTCCCTTTCCTTCCGCACTCCGCAGAAGCCGCGCTGGGGGGCCACGGGAGGTAGAAGTAGAAGAAGAGGCGGTTGGTGCCCCGCCGGCTCAAATTGATGAACCACAGCGCGGCTCGGTCGCGTGGACTTGCGGAGGGGAGGGAGCATTAGTACAAGTTGCGACCTGCGAAGCACAGCTCTGTCTTCCTCCGTTTAGTAGCTAGTCTTGCCACGGCAGTCGTCTCCCCGGCCAGACAGAATTGAAGAGGGTGCTGCTCCGGCGTACGAGCATCTCATCGCCCGCCGTCGGCGATTAGGAGGGATGGGGGAGGCCACGCGGCGGCGGCGGGTCACGCCGACGCTGCTGCTGGCGCTGGTGCTGCTGGCGGCGACCGTTCCTGCAGGCTTCTGCGCCATCAACGCTCAAGATGGTTAGCGCTGTGGTCAACTCTGCTCCTTGCCTCCTTGTATCGCGGCAGCTTGTTGCTTCATCATTCTTTCCATTTCCGTTCCATCGGGTTTTATTTACGAGGGAATTAAGATGATGCAAAATTTTGATCCAAAATTGGTCTCCGCTCTTACCAACCTACCTGCCCCTGCTGTGCTCCTTCTGAAGTCTGAACTGAAAAGGCTTGTTTTCGCAGCTTCTGCTCTCAACGCCCTCAAGAGCCAATGGACGAACGCCCCGTCGAGCTGGTCCTCGTCGAGCGACCCCTGCGACGGGGGTTGGGACGGCGTCATGTGCAACAACGGCAGGGTCAATTCGCTGTGAGTGCCAACTGCCAAGGCAGGCCATGGCCGTGCCGCCGCGCACCTTGCTTCCTTCCTTTGTTTGTCCATCGATTCGATCCACCGCGTGTTGCCATATGCCATGCGAGCTACCTGACTGAATGGGTCTTAATTCACCATTGTCCGTGCGTGCCTTGTTTGCAGGCGGCTGTCAAGTGTCAACATCCAGGGCACGCTCAGCGACAGCATCGGACAGCTCACCCAGCTCGTCTACCTGTAAGTAACCTCACTTCTCACCTGCAGCTTCCCCAGCCTCCGAATCACAGTCACTAGCTGCAAGGCACGATGTCTGTACCCGACGTGAGGTTGGACGATGCGTTTGCGTTTCAGACGATTCAGGGTAGAAAGATTTTGAATTGGTCAGAGCGCAGAACAATTCTGCATCTAGGCTTGTAGCTACCTTGCAAACTCTGCTTTCTTCACGCCTCACCTGTCGAGCTGAGGCTGACCAATTCAAGTTTGGCAGAGTGTAGGTTGCGACTAATAATAATCTAGTAAACTATCATTACCATGGATTGGCTAGCTAGTCTCTAGGTTCTTTTGTTAATAAGGCCAGGTTACCAAAAATGAAACAAGATATACACGAAGTACGAACGTATAATGTGACAGAAATGATATGTACAGTACTTTTTCTAAGAGAGGGAAGTGTGTTCTATCTCACAACATAAGCACTTGCAGGGATGTTTCCTTCAACCTCGGTCTCAGTGGTCCAATGCCCGCTACAATCGGGAACCTTGCACAGCTTACCACACTGTATGCGCTACATTACTCTTCATTTTCGATCCTGCTTTTCATTATCCGACGTAGAAAATCACCAAAGATTAATTGGACTATACTTGTCAGGATCCTGGCAGGCTGTAGCTTCACAGGAAGCATTCCACAGGAACTCGGCAACCTACAGCAGCTCACATTCCTGTAATTACTAGCCTGCTTATTCTGATGAAAAATGCATAAAAAAATTCAGTCTGTCACTCCTTATGATTTGGTATACATAGTTAACTGGTTTTGTCGCACATTCTCTTTAGGGCGCTGAATTCAAACAAGTTTACAGGCACAATACCCCCTCAACTTGGTTTACTCTCAAATCTCTTCTGGTTGGATCTGGCTGATAATCAGCTCACTGGATCTATCCCGGTCTCAACAGCGACGACACCAGGGCTTGACCAACTTATCCACACGAAGCACTTGTAAGTGATATCATATTTGTGCTTTTGGTAAATTAAGCGAAATCAAAATGTATCCATGCCACCGTTTCATTTGCTTTATAAATACTTCTAACTTTTGATATATGAACAGTCATTTCAACAAGAACCAGTTATCTGGGACACTTGCAGGTCTCTTCAACTCCAAAATGAGTCTGATTCACGTGTAAGGGATCGCAAGACTTTCAGTTTATAGTTCATATGACATCAATAAAACATGCCCTGCTAACTCGTCTTGGTACCTTTGTTAGATTGTTCGATAGCAATCAATTAGCTGGTCCAATACCAGCAGAGCTAGGGGGCGTTTCAACACTCCAAGTCCTGTAAGTATCTTAGAATCTGTGGAAATTCAATATTTTTCCACAAACATTGTTTTATTATAATTTTTCCTCTTTATTAACTTGATTTGCATCTTTGACAGCCGACTAGATAGGAACAGTCTTCGGGGAGCGATTCCTCCTAACATCAGCAACTTGGTGAATCTTAATGAGCTGTAAGTGGCCCATGATCTTAAACAATCAGCAACAATCCTGGCACCCAACCACCATTTTTTTAATTAAAAAATGTGACCTTCTGCAGGAACTTGGCCAACAACCAGCTCACTGGATCACTGCCAGATCTAAGCAGCATGACCCAATTAAATGTCGTGTAAGAAACTAACTGTAGTGATACCATGCTCTTTGTCAGATCATATCAATTTTCTGGATAATTACTGATGAATTGGTTGCTTCATAACCAGGGATTTAAGCAACAACTCTTTTGCCGTTTCAGTAGCCCCAAACTGGTTCACAACTTTAACATCTCTAACCTCTGTGTGAGTTATCTTAGACTATTTGCTCCTTACATCACCATCGTTATGTCAATACTGAACTCACCTTGTTATCTTCTGATCTCACAGATCAATATCTTCTGGACAACTTTCTGGCGTGGTCCCCAAGGGTCTCTTCAGATTGCCCCAGCTGCAGCAAGTGTAATGTTCTGGCAACTTATATACCAAAGAATATTTTTTAAATAAGGGGAAAACATTATGTTAACCTTTTTTGTCGGGACTCTGATCAAACAGTATACTGAGCAATAACGCGTTCAACGGAACCCTTGAGATCACGGGCAACATCAGCAACCAACTTCAGACTATTAATCTCATGAATAACGGTATCTTTGCTGCCAATGTCACCCCAAGCTACAAGAAGACTCTAGTGTAAGAAACACTCAGCACAAGAGCCATAAAGTTGCTTCTTTTCTCCACCCAAACAATTCAGAAACACTTCATTTCTTGTTTGCCAAACCTGAATACAGGCTAGTCGGGAATCCAGGCTGCCAGGACCCAGATTTAAAATCCTTCTGCAGCCTCAAGCAGGAGAGCATGATAGCATACAACACCAGCCTGAGCAAATGTTCCTCTACAGATTCATGTTCCAGTGACCAGAGTCTGAACCCTGCAAACTGCGGCTGCGCCTATCCCTACGCCGGGAAGATGGTCTTCAGAGCGCCGTTATTCACGGACCTGACAAACAGCACCACTTTTCAGCAGCTGGAGACAAGCCTCACGACGCAGTTATCTCTACGTGATGGCTCTGTATTCCTCTCGGACATCCACTTCAACAGTGATAACTACCTCCAGATTCAGGTGGCGCTTTTCCCATCGACTGGGGTGTCCTTCAGCGTGCCGGATCTGATACGGATAGGCTTTGATCTGAGCAACCAGACTTACAAACCACCACCAAATTTTGGACCTTATTACTTCATTGCAAACACATACGCTCTTTTGGCAGGTACTTTAGTTTTACCATCAAAAAGTCCAATCTGTATTCAAGCAGTATGATGGTTTTTATTTTTGTTGAAGAAAAAGTATGATGGTTTTTTGTGGAGCAACTAGTATGGTGGTATGAAATTCACTGTATGACTTTCTGTGTCAGGTGCTTCTTCTAGTGGTAGTAAGAAATCACAGATCAGTACTGGCGCTATCGCTGGAATTGCGGTAGCTGGTGGACTTCTTGTGATTGCTCTCATTGGCATGGTATTATTTGCGTTGCGACAGAAAAGAAGGGTTAAGGAAGTGACGGGACGAACTGACCCTTTCGGTAAGGACTTAAAAACTTGTGTGCATTTCAATTCCTGTTATGTTTACTGACAGTGTGGTGCAAGAGATTCATTGCAGAAGCTTTTAGAAAGTTACCAAGATTTTCGTTGTTGTTTTTTTAACCAAGGACATGTCACAGTTTGCAAACAGTAGTAACCCAAACCAACTGTGACAAGAATAATACTAACGTCAGATCTGAACTGAATTTTGTTCCAAAATAACAGCTCCATGGGGAGTTTCTCAGAAAGACAGTGGAGGGGCTCCACAGCTCAAAGGAGCAAGGTTGTTCTCTCTGAATGAACTGAAGAACTGCACCAACAATTTCTCAGACACCCATGAGATAGGCTCAGGAGGCTATGGAAAGGTATCCAACAAAAAAACCTATTTTTTTTAAAGCACAAAAAAAAAACTGTTTGGCTTTCTTAAAGAGGACCTGCACAATTCTTTTTTTTTTTTGAAAGATAAGGACCTGCCCAAATAGTTAAACCATTGGATAAAAAAAAATCAAAATTTAGGTAAATCTGCCTATTCTTCAAAATACATTCAGGCAACTCACAAATATCAAAACTGGTAAATTTAAAAGGTGTATAAGGGAACACTCGTTGATGGAACGTGGGTCGCCGTAAAGAGAGCAGAGCGGGGATCAATGCAAGGTGTGGTGGAATTCAAGAACGAGATCGAGCTGCTCTCCAGGGTTCATCACAGGAACCTGGTGAGCCTGATAGGCTTCTGCTACGAACAAGGGGAGCAGATGCTGGTGTATGAGTACGTCTCCAACGGAACACTGAGAGAGAACCTGCTAGGTACATTGACAAAACCACCCCATATTATGGAGTACATTTCACAAAATTTACATCTCTCAGTTGTAATCGATGCATCAATAATTTGATCATTCAATCTGTACGCGTGAACGGCAATGCAGTGAGAGGAACGTACCTGGACTGGAAGAAGAGGCTCAGGATCGCGCTCGGGTCAGCGAGGGGACTTGCGTACCTTCACGAGCTCGCCGACCCGCCTATCATCCACCGGGACGTCAAGTCCACCAACATCCTCCTAGACGACCACCTGAAAGCCAAGGTCGCCGACTTCGGCCTCTCCAAGCTCGTCGCCGACACCCAGAAGGGACACGTCTCCACTCAAGTGAAAGGAACACTGGTGAGTCACAATGAAAACATCATACTACTTACGACTAGGAACCTAAACAATCAAAACAAGCATTTAAAAAAACTTAATTAAGCATGTGGCGAATTTGGTGGATGGTGTAGGGTTACTTGGATCCGGAGTACTACATGACGCAGCAGCTATCGGAGAAGAGCGACGTGTACAGCTTCGGGGTGGTGATGCTGGAGCTGGTGAGCGGGCGGCAGCCGATCGAGAGCGGCAAGTACATCGTGCGCGAGGTGAGGCTGGCCATCGACCCCAACGACCGCGATTACTACGGGCTGCGGGGCCTCCTCGACCCGGCGATCCGGGACAACGCGCGCACCGCCGGGTTCCGGCGGTTCGTGCAGCTGGCGATGCGGTGCGTGGACGAGTCGGCGGTGGCGCGGCCGGCCATGGGCGAGGTGGTGAAGGAGATCGAGGCCATGCTGCAGAACGAGGTCGCCGGGGCCGACGGCGGGGCCACCAGCTCCGCCGGCTCGTCCGCCAACGAGTTCGACGGCGCCGGCGCCGGCGCGCGGTCGCACCCGTACAGCGACACCGAGATCACGAGAGGCTCGTACGGGGACAACGCGTCGGATTACATGCCCTACTTCGAGGTCAAGCCCAAGTAGTAGACTTCCAGTCGTTTCAGACTTTCCTTTTTCAGTTGCATATAGGATGTGAGATGCATTGTAGATTTGTGTAATTTTGTATGTCACGTGTATATTCATTGGTTTCTTGAGCTTAATTTTACCATGCTACTTCCAGTCTTACTATCATGATACGATCGACAAATTGTACATGCCTAGAAATTTGATAACATGAGTTGTTCTGTTTTTTTGTTCTTTTATTACAGAAGAAGAAGTCACATTTTTCCTTACCGTTAGAAATTTCTCAGTGATTTTTGCGGTCCAAATTGCTAAATTAAAGTTTGGGTTCATGAATGATTGGCAAAGGGACTCCCTTTACCGTTTTCCCCTGGATGATCCATGGAAGATTTGCTGGCGTCCAGCTCGTCTCCAGTCGCTCTCCGGCAACGGCAATAACGAAACAGAAAAGAAAATGGGAGGGCCAGGACGCGGTGGCGAACGGGCGGACGCGCGACGAATCCGCCCGCGCCGCGCGCGCGACCTGCCACTTCGGGGCATGGCCAGCATGCGTCGTCGTAAACGAGCACCGCCCGTTGGCGCTTTAAAGCCCCGCCCCGGCGTCCCCTCGTCAATCCGAAGCCTCCCCGGTTATCCACCGGCCTCCACCTGACCCCTACCACCACCCGGGACGTCTTCCATGGCCTCCTCGTAGAATAGCTCTATCTCACCGCAACAAACTCCTCGTTACATCCTTCAAGAGAGCACCACCACACTAGAGATCGAGCTAGCGCCCCCTCCGATCCGGTCCGGCCGCCGCGCGCGAGAGCTAGCAGCTGCTGATCGATTGGTAGGCACGTACGTGCTCGGGTGGAGATAGCGAGGAGAGACATGGCGACGACGACGACGCGGGTTGCCGCCGGCGTGCTGCTGGTGCTGTCGGCGCTGGCCTTGGTGGCGCAGGCCGAAGACCCGTACCTGTTCTTCGAGTGGAAGGTGACGTACGGGACCAAGCCCCTGCTGGGTGTGCCCCAGAAGGTCATCCTCATCAACGGCGAGTTCCCCGGCCCCAGGATCAACTGCTCCTCCAACAACAACATCGTCGTCAACGTCTTCAACCAGCTCGACCAGCCGCTCCTCTTCACCTGGTCCGTGCAACAGCCAGAAAATAAGTGCATGCATGCATGCATTTCATTTCGATATATACCAATTGCACGACGCGTGCAGGAACGGGATGCAGCACCGGAAGAACTCTTGGATGGACGGGATGCCAGGCACGCAGTGCCCGATCTTGCCCAACACCAACTTCACGTACAAGTGGCAGCCCAAGGACCAGATCGGCAGCTTCTTCTACTTCCCATCCGTCGGCATGCAGCGGGCGGCGGGCGGCTACGGGGGCATCAGCGTGTACAGCCGCCTCCTGATCCCCGTCCCCTTTGACCAGCCGCCGCCGGAGAACGACCACGTGGTCCTCATCGGCGACTGGTACACCAAGGACCACGAGGTCCTGGCCCGGCAGCTGGACGCCGGCAAGAGCGTGGGCCGCCCCGCGGGCGTGGTCATCAACGGCAAGGGCGGCAAGGACCTGGAGGCGGCGCCCCTCTTCACGTTCGAGGCCGGCAAGACGTACCGCCTCCGCGTGTGCAACACCGGGATCAAGGCGTCGCTCAACTTCCGCATCCAGGGCCACCACATGACGCTGGTGGAGCTGGAGGGCTCCCACACGCTGCAGGACATCTACGACTCGCTCGACGTCCACGTCGGCCACTGCCTCTCCGTGCTCGTCACCGCCGACCAGAAGCCCGGCGACTACTACATGGTGGCCTCGACGCGGTTCATCCACGACGCCAAGTCCGCCAAGGCCGTCGTCCGCTACGCCGGCTCCAGCGCCCCGCCGCCGGCGGAGATGCCCGAGCCGCCGGCTGGCTGGGCCTGGTCCATCAACCAGGCGAGGTCGTTCCGCTGGAACCTGACGTCCAGCGCCGCGCGGCCCAACCCGCAGGGCTCCTACCACTACGGCCAGATCAACATCACCCGCACCATCAAGGTCATGGTCTCCCGGGGCCACATCGACGGCAAGCTCCGCTACGGCTTCAGCGGCGTCTCCCACAGGGACCCCGAGACCCCCGTAAAGCTCGCCGAGTACTTCAACGTCACCGACGGGGTGTTCAGCTACAACCAGATGGGCGACGTGCCCCCCGCCGTGAACGGGCCCCTCCATGTCGTCCCCAATGTCATCACCGCCGAGTTCCGCACCTTCATCGAGATCGTCTTCGAGAACCCCGAGAAGAGCTTGGACTCCCTCCACCTCGACGGCTACGCCTTCTTCGGCGTCGGGTATATATATACGTGCTCATCAGTTCTTTTTTTCTTCTTCTTTTTTGAGCAAGTATTTATGAGCCATGATGCTATCTGTAGGATGGGGCCCGGGCAGTGGTCGCCGGAGGCGAGGCAGACGTACAACCTGCTGGACGCGGTGAGCCGGCACACGATCCAGGTGTACCCGCGGTCATGGACGGCGATCATGCTGACGTTCGACAACGCGGGCATGTGGAGCGTCCGGTCCAACATCTGGGAGCGGTACTACCTCGGGGAGCAGTTCTACATCAGCGTCATCTCGCCGGAGCGATCACTGCGCGACGAGTACAACATGCCCGACAACGCCCTCCGCTGCGGCAAGGTCGTGGGGCTGCCGCTGCCGCCGTCCTACGCCCCCGCGCGCTAAAATTAAAGACGAATTGAAAGCCCCGTTTTCTCCTCGTGTTCTGGCCATCCAATCCAATCCTTTCCTGTGTGTTGCTTGCTCCTGAGAAATTTCTTTTGCTTTGGCGAAATAATTAAGTAGCCGGGCCGTAGGGAAGGGGAACAATGCAAGGAACATCGGCTGGGGGGTCAGCCGGATGGGAACGAACGCATGAATATGTCATATATGTAATCTTGATTGAGATGCCCTCTGAAATCATTGTAATGGGGTTCTAAAAAAATCATTGTAATGGGAGTATATATATAACTTTATCTCACCATTTATATTTACACCAGCATGCCCTTATGTATGCATGTTCTACCGTGATTACATTTTGTAGTTTGCTCTGCTGTGTTTATCCTTGATCTTGAAATTTTGGGTTTGTTCCCCATTTTAAGCCACTTGAGGAACGAAGATCCTCAGCCCCAGCAACCTTTTATTTGTCATATCTGAAAAGTTCATCAGATGATGGAAAAAGCAGCACCCTCTCTCACATTGAAGAAAGCTGGCCAGGCTAGAGAAGCAAGGTTTGGATTTGATCTAGGATGTGTGCTCTCCATTGAGGGGGCCTAGAGGGATAATGGGGAGGTGGTAGGTGGTAGGTGGTCTTGTACGGAATCTTCCGTTCCACTTAGGTGGACAATTAGGCCTAGGCATGAAAACGGAGGGTTTCTCCTCTCTCATTTTCGTTTCTAATTTTTTTGCGGAAATGGGACTAGATTCGAAACAGGAGTTAGAAATGGGTTCTGGATATGTGAGCATACAAAATAAACCAATACAGACGAAAATTTTATATGAACGAATGGGAGGCTGAAACTTAAGTCAAAAATAGACATCCGCTAGCCACTACACAATTGGTGCATAAGCACATAGTGCATACTTCATACATAATTGGTGTATACATATGTTGATGCTTCTTCTAAGAAGAAGGCTGAAGCCCAAATTTTCTGTGGTCCAAAAAAATATGTTGAAGCACACTTCACACACACAAGTGCACTATGCGGATATAAGTTTAACCATGAAAAATAACGAAATAACTTTCACAATTCCACAAAGGGATCATCATGTCTACAACACATGAGCACATGACTAGATATAGGCTCCAGACCACGCAAATAGACTATAATAATTGAAGTTTAGTGGTTCACTAAATCACCATGACCGGACATTCACTTTAGATTATAGCTAACAAACTAAAATGAGAGTACGAGACCACACAATGACTGAAGTTCACCACGACAAATAACAATTTAACATAAGAGCACATTTTCACATGGAGATATTCTTCACGGATCACATATTCTCTTCTCTACAAGGAAAATAAGGATATATTTGGTCGGGCGCACTGTTTACATAGCAACCCACATCAACTGCACTCTGATTTTCTCTTTTTTGTTTCTCTTTCTAGAAAATTTTGTGCATCCTCAATTTTTGCATGAATATGGATGTTTTTGTCATCTATCCATTCGTATTTCTTATTGAACTAGGATTATGCCCGTGCGTTGCAACGGAAACAAATTAATACCGAACACAAACTCTTCTTTGTTGCCCTGAGCAACACTTGTGAGTCGTGATGTAGTTCCCACTCCAGAAAGCTGCCGAGAGCCTAGGGTAACAAAATTCATTGTTATAAGCCAACATCATTATCATCTACCTCCTACAATTCATTGTGCACATCTGCTACAGGTGGCTTTCTTCTGAGCAGAAGTCTGGGCAATTTGATCTAAGTTCAGTCTATAACGAAGTGAGGAACAAGCACATTGTACACCCATCTTTATACCAATCCAATTACTATACCAAGTTTTTTACTGACAAACAATTCTCAAATATAAAATCATTGACAAGTTTAGGATTCCTTTGTCTAAGAAGCAATAAACAATTCATACAACTACCAATCTAAGTGATTGTTAAGGGGAAGAAATATCATGATTGGCAGGAAAACAATGTTAAATCTTACTATTACTAATTAGAGGCCTCAACGGAGGCACCATATTAATTCTCACCAGACGCGCTAAGAAAAAAGATAAATTATAGAAATTCTCACAATAATCAGAAACATCTAGCCTTTAATTTGGTAGATTCTAATCATCATCACCGATAATAGCCATTAGATTTATTATAATTTATAAAAAAATTACCCACCTCTACCATTATGAGAAATACATAAAGTAACCCCCTAATTTTACATATAAATTACCCACCTCTGCCATTACGAAAGATAACTTAGAATAACCCTCTAAATTTTTATATAAATTACCTACATCTATCATTATAAATCATAATTTAAAATAACCCCCTCACATTGCATCTAAATTACCCGTCATTGCTATTATGAAAGATAATTTAAAATAACCCTCTAACTTTGTATCTAGATTACCCACATATGTCATTATGAGAGATAATTTAAAATATAACCCACTAATTTTGTATATAGATTACACACATATGTCATTTTGAAAGATAATTTAAAATACATAATAATGATTTTGTAAATTATTCACCTTTGTAGTTATGAAATATCATGAAAAATAACCTCCTAAATTTACATTCAACCTAACCATATATGTTGTTATGGAAGAATATAAAGTATTACCTTTATATTTGTATTTAGCTCAATGATTATAGAAAAACAAAAAATATTTATCAAATCAGCGTGTAAATAGTAATATGTGCTATTACAAAAAATAAATCGATATGCATAAAGTACGAAACATACATATTTCTAAATTATAAACTTCTATAACGATGAAATTAAATAACCATAATGTTATACTTCACTATTTATACTAAGTAAACATATATACGTTAGGATATATATTTATTTTAATAGCTCATGAAGCATGAAAAATGTTTAATTCACAAACCCCATAGAAATAACATAGCACTGACAATTCACTTTAAATTATATTAATACTACGTGATAATCTGTTATTTTAAATAAGTTTATATATTTAATTAAAAATATTATGTCATATCAGTATTGGTAATTTAATTTTAAGCACTCTATGATATACAAAACAATACTAGACACATGTAAGTCCGTGATATAACAAATTAAACAAGTTCGGTGCTAGGGTACAATCTGAGTTTTAACTTAATCAATATGTGGAAAACAATACTACTAGGACTTAAACTCTTTGTAATAAAAAAATAATTTTTGAGTAAAGATGAAAAACACTAGAGTTTCTACCAGACATGTGAAAAAAATCACACAACTCGATTGAAAGTCGAAAGCTAAACTATGATTTATGAAATCACAGAAACGGATGCAACTAGAGTTTATATATCTTAATAGTATGTTTCAACTAAATACATATCATGCTAGAAAAAAAGATAAATACTAGAAATTCTAACTAGAGGTCTCTAATGGAGCCTCCATGTTAATCCTCACGAGACACGATAGGAAAACAGATAGATCCTATAATTTGTCACAAAAGTTCGAAACATTTGACTATCAATTCGGTATAACCTAATTATCATTGATAATAATAGCTATTGCATCTATTCTATAAATAATTACCCACCTCAAAGTAATCATGCATGAGCGATAAATATATATGTCATGTTTCATCAAAAAATATTTTCTTACCTCATATCTAATGAGACTAACAAATTGTTTAAAACCATATTAGTAATCATGACATATAATTTAAATAGGTTGTTGCTTTAGATATATTGATGTATTTTAACTAAATATTTGACATGTCTATATTGATAGTATAATCATAACTACACATATAACTCATTGACAGGAAAATTCCATCATCGTGAGAAGTATGAGAGACCACTTATGGCTATATTTTTCTAACCCTTTAAGATTACTTTAGAGGAAAAAGTCGATCATTATATAGCTTAAGTATTAAACATCTCTCAAGGTTCGCACTGCTATCCCCATCTGAGATCTCACTTTAAGCTCTATCACTTATCTTAAACGACATGGTGCAGATTTCAATGATTGCTTTTGCTATTGTAGTATTTAAGAACGTACTCTAAAACCAAAAATCCTTATTATTAAAACATGCAAAAAGTAGAGTTAATAAAAAAATACAATAATCACAAGAGTTTCAACTTGACGGCAAAAAAAAATTTATAGCAGCCAACAAGAATAAAATTTTAAAAATTAAATTGAGATTCATGACTTCATAACCGTCATAGTTAATGGTAAGTTTTAAAGTTTTACATATTTAAAATATAAAAAATGCCAAGCAATGTAAAAATATGAATATGAATGAAAATCATATAAATCAGTATCTTGCAAAAAAGTAATTGATAAGTTTATGATAATTGGATATAGACTATATGAAATATCTATTTTTTAGAAATAAACAAAGATAGAAACATCTAATTTAATATAAACAATTCTTTATTAATCAGATGTATCAAACAGTATATGTCTCAAAAATTCTAACCCATGTGAGAACACAGGTCGATGGACTAGTTTATCAATTAATCACAACTCTTTCTCTGTGCGCAAGTAATAAAAAACTTCCTGATATGCATTTTGTTGCTCCCTTAGAGGAGCTGGCGCTGATCCTGGTTCAGCAGCAATGTTAGGTTCCATCCCTCTGTGAAGTCGTTGCAGGGGCACCATATGCTGCAGCCATGAAAGCATTGCCGTCAGCAATACGACGATAGGATGCTTGTGCAGCTTGCTTCTAGTCTGCCCTTGCACGACAAACCTGCATCTGCCCATGAACACATGCACATCCACCATGATCCTAATGAACCAACAGAGATCATGTCCTTTTCGATGCATCTGAAATATGTGAACCTAGGAAATTGAATGGTAAGAACAAAATTGAAATTGCAAATTGGACAAGCAACACATTTGTGCATCACAATACCAGACTTTTGAAGAGGAAGATATTATTTGTTCTTCACACTGTGCTTCTGCCAATACGAATCAGATCACAATGAGAATTGTGCCGTTTAATTAGGTTCACATTTTGTATGTATAAGCACAGTTCAGATTGAACAAGAAT